TATATATATAACAGAACAAGATAAATTACATCCAGGGACTATATCTACCGTTTGTCATATTAACTTGACCTGTACGTGAGTCAGATGGCGTTAGTACAACAAAGCTTTTGAACWAACAASAGGTCTGACTTCAACATCACTCAACAAAACTCAACATAACTCAAGCGTAGCAAAGCTTCATAATCCTATTTCATGTAAAGTAAAAAATATGATGTAGTAAAAYGACACCTAAATGTACATTTTTCTAAAAAAAAAAAATACTTATGTAAATGTAGTTACTACCCACCTCTGTTTATGGGTTTGAAAAAAAGGCTAAAAAGATCAGCATAAATAATTGAACCTGCTTTGTTATTTTAAAAAAACTGTGTCTGTTCCATTTCCTTCGAAGGTGGGGTGAAGGTTTCCTGTTTCATCCTGATCCCACTGGGAAGAGGTTCAAAATGATTTGTTAAAGTTTTAAGTTAAGTTTTGAAGAACAGGAGTGGATTGCTGCTATCCTAATACAACTCCAACCTCAGATACTTAGTAGTGTTTAAATTAATGCTTTACTAGAACATGACATTTATATTAACATGGAACATCAAAAGATAGTTTTGAAAAGTGATTTAGTAATTACTATATTGATTTTTTAATACAATGCCTTATAAAGCAATCATAGGTAAAAATATAAAGTTTCTTGTGCAGAATCTATGCAGAAAAAAAATCATTAATCTTATCACCAGGAGGCAATGGTGATAAGATATCACTACAAATCTTTAGCTCTTTAACTTATAACTCCTGCTTGACTTGTTTTGACATTCCTTCTGCCTGTCGTCGGCTCCAAAGGCAACAGCTGCAGGCTTCAGAATGTTCCGAGACTAAACACACTCCTTGTTTTTCTAAAAATGGACCCAAAAACAAAACTCTACTTGGGCAGACMATTTAAGCACAAGTGGACAAGCGTTCCTCCATCCATGGGCTTCTTTGAGTTGTTGTGCGACRCGTTTTATAGGTCCCATGAGGTTTTATTAGATCCCATGAGGTTCAAATGTCTTCAACTCAGAACAGAGCATTTCTGTCGGGGCCCAAAACATGTTTTTTGTGTTCTCGCAGGACCTCTGAGGTCATCACTGACCACATAAASCCCCAGCCGCTCAGATTCACATGGTGTCTTTGACTTCATGTGTTTTCTGACCCTTCTAAAAATGACTGTTAATATTCAGTTCCTACCCTGAGGATCTGTCCTGGTTGTCTCTGAGACTGAAGTTAAACCTGCTTGTAAGGCACCAGAGCTCTTCGGGGAGTCCGTCTGAAAGTTTATTCTCCTTTAAATCACACCTGCACCAGGTCATTCCTGGTCCTTGTTATGTATTTGTCTGTAATGTTCTCCATAAAGATGATGCAASTGATGGAAAAAATATCAGTGAACTCCATAACATGTAATCAAACTGTGCTTATATTTTCTTTTCTGTCCGACCTCCACCCTCCATCAACGTGAATGTCCAGGTTAAACTGTTATTTATTTATTTATTTATTTATTTATTTATTTATTTATTTATTTATTTATTTATTTATTTATTTATTTATTTATTTATTTATTTATTTATTTATTTATTTTCTGGTGTATCATTTTTCTTCTCTTTATGAGTTGTTTTGTACTTGAAGTCATTTTTCTGACAGTGAATGTTTGCAGTTTTCATTTTGACCACTAGATGGAGGTAAAGTGCAGAGAGCAGAGAGCGTGGACATAAAAAATAGGTATAGAAATATAAGCTTCTGTCTCCCTCTGGTGACTTAAGCAAGAAATTTAATCAGAATTTTACAATTTGAGCACCATCAGGAGAAGAGAAACATGTTAATAAAATAGGCTGTGCTTTACAGTTTGTTTTTAATGCTATGTTGTTGTTTTTTTCTTGATCTTCATCCTGAATGTCCTGCTGGTTTCAAATCTTTTCTTTTGTTTTTTAAATGAGGTGAGTTTTGTCCAGTKATGCTCAGTTTGTAATCTCAGATATCTGAAGTGTGTGTCATCTTTTATATAATTAGCTTCATTCTTCCATTCATATTTATTAAAACACTTTTTTCTGCCTTCCTAAAATCAGGGACTTCCTGGGCTTCTTGGTCCTCAAGGCCCAGYGGGACCAGTAGGCCGACCAGGAGATCCTGGTATCCAAGGACCAAAAGGGCAGAAAGGTGACCACGGACCTGGTGGCTTCATAGGTCCTAAAGGCAGCATGGTAAAACATCTTTTAATATAAAACACAATAATAATAAAATGTATTTTGTTAATGTGTCTTTTTTGCATCCCAGGGGATGACCGGTGTACCTGGGTTCTCTGGAATCGATGGCATTCCTGTGAGTAAAACAACACACTTAGGTCATCTGTGAATGCCAACAGGGTTTTTATTTGTGTTGAATCCTCTTCAGGGCCACCCGGGACAAGGTGGGCCCCGGGGGAGGCCCGGAGCAGACGGCTGTAACGGGACTCATGGAGACTCAGGACTGTCTGGAATTCCTGGATTTATGGGTCCTCCTGGACCTTCTGTGCGTATCTAAATCTGTCATTCTCCAAAAATATATATATTCTCATCTAAATAATAATTTTGCTCTTTTGTTTATTCTCAGGGATTTCCAGGCAGGAAGGGGGAGAAGGGAGACCCTCTGAACATCACTGTGTACATGCAGCGCTTCAGGGTGAGGAAGAGGAGTTTCTAACAAAAGTGTCATCTGTTGTAAACAWTGGAAACRTTCTCAATTTGTTTGCCTTTGAACGTTTCTCATCAGGGTGATCCAGGAAGACCAGGATTCAATGGGATAATTGTAAGACCCACGATGAAGAGAAKCTTATTCAGTGTTAATGTTACGCATCCGAATGTCTGAAATGTAATTTTTCTCCAGGGGCCTCCAGGAGCACAAGGACGGGAAGGTAACAGAGGCCCACAAGGACCAAAGGTTTGTGTCCTCATGTCTTTGAGGAGCTCAGTTTACAAGTTTATGAAACCAAATTTATTATGAAGCAAAAGGCTTTTATTGTTTTTTTGTTTCTTTTAGGGCCCTTCAGGTCCTCCTGGTCCCCCAGGACCAAAGGTGAAGCAGCACAAACTCAGTTAACAGAAATAAACACGATGTTTGACTGTGAAAACACAGCTGTGCACCTTTGTAGAAAATGTTACTGAGATARAACATTTCCTTCTGTCCAGGGCACCATGACCAAAGTGTTAAAGGGAGTCAAAGGAGAAGCTGTGAGTAAAACAATCAATCAAAGCCTTTATAGTTTTTATTCTTTTATTTCATGTCCGATTGCATTGGTACTAAAAATAATGGATAAATATTTTTTGTTGCATAAAAAATCATGTTTAAGTTGAGGGAGAAATGGATCACTTGTAATGCAGGTAGATTTACATTTCATTTTGTCAACTTCTTTTTTCTCGTGCCATCTCCTCTAATATTCTTAAATTTCAAAATTTCAAAATCTGCTCCCAATATTATGTTTAATTGGATATTTTTACCACAATTTACTATTTCAGTTTTTACCTGAATATCTTTTTATTATCTATCACCCCACATACACTAACTTGTTATTGAGGTATGTGTTTACACATTCATCACTGCAGGCAAAACAACTAAAATAAAAATAATAGTTTTTCATCATTTTGACCTAAAAAGCAACAGATGTGAGCATTCCATTAGTTTTTACAGAATAAAAACGATAATCTTATTGTTTTAAATGCTATTTGTTGCTACATTTTTAATGTCACAAACTACCATCAGACTCATGGATGACACCAATTTCAGCAAAATCAGGAAACAGCCAGGAGGTTTACTGGCAAATATTACTTAAATGTTCCAATAGATGTGTCAGAACTTTAAGTTTAAAATACCTTTAACTTTTTGGAGATTGTGTATAAAGTATGTGATCACACAAAACTGATTAAAACGCATTTATGTCTGATAAACATATTTTGTATAATATTTTATACATGGAATAATTATTGATAATCCAGTTTTCTAATACATTTTAGAAACAAGTTCTGCTTCACAGACTCTTCCGTAGCTTCATTGAACGACTGGAGTTCTGGATCATGGTTTGTTTTTCCTGCTTTGACCACAGGGGGACATCGGAGCACAAGGGCTACCGGGAAACTACACGAACCAGCAGCGTCARCCTCAAGCAGTAATCACAACTAATTGTTCAGTTTTATTCACCATTATGATCTGATAACATTTAAAAAGATTTCTAGGATTAAAAAAATACTGCTGAACTGTAAGTATTCATGAGTTTAAAGATAATGTTTTGTTTTAGGGGCCGCCAGGGAAAAAAGGTGAAAAAGGAGAAGTTGGGGCTTTGGTATGTGATTGATACACAAATATCATTTCCTTGCTTCATATTCCCACACAGAGAAAAGTATACAGATCTGTTCYTATGGTTATTTCAGGCAGACAACAAAGGAGAACCTGGTATAATGGGATTTCCTGGACTGAGGGTGAGTACAAGTCCTTTCGTTCAAACGTTGGTTCTACTTGTCCAAACTTTATATTAAAGGGGCAATATTATGTGTTTCTCAGGCAAACTATACCATAATAAAGTATCTATGTCACCTTTAGCTGTTATTAAAATGCTGTTTTTGTGTTTAAATAGAAAATAAACTTATCTTCTCATCACTTCCTATTGAAGTATTGAAGAGAATGATAAAAAATAGTATTCTGAAGAAATRTGGAGAATTATAAGTGAATTCACGCTAATTTCTACTACTACTACTAAACGCCTTGAAATTGGCCTCTGTCTCTTTAAGAACCACCTTCTGCTTCCGTCCCATAAGGGGGGTGGGGGGGGTCGCGCTATGATGCAGTTTACTTGGCATCTGAAAACACATTTCCTCAAAGGTATTTTGAATCTGAAAAGAGCTTCACTGAGTGAGCAGTAGTGTTAAGAGCAGCAGACAGCTTAAGTTTCACTTTCACTTTGCTTTGTTACTGCCGAGAGCCTGCAGGAGTCATGGGCAGGGTGTGGGGGGTGGGGGGTGGGGAGGTGTGCTCCGTGATGAGGAAGTTCGGCTTAAAGACACGTCCCAGGAGCGTTTCTGGTCCCAAAAGGCGTTTCTGGTCCCCACCTGTCGTTTTGCTCCTCATCATGGCTTCCAAAAAACGCCGCAGGATTTCTCAAACATGCATGAATGAGTCAACGCAAGGCTTTGGACATGTTTTTTATGAGAGTGTAACATTATAACACGATAAAAAACTCAAAAAATGTTGATTTTACATGATATTGCCCCTTTAAGAGCTATTCTGAATTCCTTTTTAGGGTGAAAATGGTGCAAACGGGCGTCCTGGACCGAGGGTACGACTGTGTGATCGTTTCCCTGGTATTTTTTTGTGTCCTCAGATTGATTATTTTCTAACATCTTCATGACAACATTGTTTCAGGGTGAGCCTGGTGAACCAGGACTGAATGGTGGTGACGGGATTAAGGTAAGACAGAAATGCTGAATCCCTGAAATCATGTGCAGTTGAGTTAATGTTTGCTTATTTCAAACTCTGTCAGGTTGAAGGTTTTYGCCTTTTTGATCAGCGTGTGTCTAAAGAGAAGTAGGAACAGCAATGGCATGTTTTTATTTGTATGTTTCTGTTTCAGGGAGAGAGAGGAGATCCGGGGGAGTTGATTTCTTCAGGATCCTGGTCTTCAGCTGGTAAGATGATGAACACAGGAGAGAAAACAGTCAAATAAATGCTAYATATTCATGAAATGCTCCAGAGATGTTCAAAATGGCATCTTGCTAAAATACAATAAAACATCTGCTGTAAAAGATGTGAGGTGATTTGTTAGTGGAGCAGCAAATCTTCCACCTTTCTTAATAACCCTGTCACATCCATCCTCCCAAACATTTTCACTTCCTCTCATATATTGAAGGACGTCAGAGTAAATCAAGTACACACTTGAGCAACAGCTCTGAAAGAAAYCCTGATCAAATATCTCCTGATCCTTGGTGTTGGTGGAGGTCAAAGTCACCGCTGACTTAAASTGAAACTCACAGAAGTTTAAAAACAGTCACAAGCAAACCTTATGGTCATTAACTGAAAAGTGATTAGCTGACTCAGTCTAATGTGGTCAATGTGGGAACAAACGATGAAAGCAAAGAGATTTGAAACTGATGAGTTGTGACTAAAAGCAGAAGAAGTTTTCATTTAGGAAATGTGCATTAATTAAATAACAAAGTTACCTTGTTTTATTATCTAGTCGTAACATATTTTACTGTAGCTTAATGTATCTAATTGTATCTCTTCCTACTCAATGGTAAAGTTTTTTTTATTGTATCTAATGATACAAAAAAGTTAGGACATTGTGTAAAATGCAAATAAACTAAACCCATCTAAACTAAAATCATCTGTTGGAGATGTTGGACATGTATGTTGTCCCATTCCTGTTTAATGTGAGATTAGCTGTTTAAAAGCTGTGGCTCTTTTTTATTGGATGTTTCATTTTATGATGCATCAAATATAAAAAAAAATAGTAATGAGTTTTTTTCACCTCAGCACCCAGACTTGAATTTTGCAGGCATCCAATATTTACTTGTCTTTTCCTTTGCACACAAAGATTTCYCCAGATTTGTTTKAACCTTTTGGYAGTATGCTAGATGTTAGGGTATTCAAAATCTTATCAATTTTCTGTTGAGGAACTTACTATTGCCAAAAGTATTTGCTCACACATCCAAATGACTGTGAACCAGTGCACAAAGCAAGACGTGGATGTCAGAGTCTGGTGTGGATGAACTTGACTGGCCTGCACAGAGTCCTGACCTCAACCCCATAGAACGCCTTTGGGATGAATTNCCCTAAAACTAACCTAAACTCAATACACACCTTGGTCCTAAACCCAACCCCCAACCCACCAATGGCAAAAACCAAATGGGGGCTCGACGTTTGTCCCCAAATGTAGGATTTTTGTCAAAAAATTGCCCCCAAATGTCACCAAAGCCGAACCCACATACATATTTTAGGGGTGCAACAATACATGTACCCGTATCGAACCGTTCAAAACAGTGCGTTAGGTTCAATACACACTTGTATTGAACAATACAGAGTTTTAAAAATTATTTTATTTACATGTCTTCTGAAGATGCTCTGTGTTGAAG